ATTTGACTGTCACTTCATTTTAATCAACTAATCTTTCTCTCTTCCGCTTTACGCTATAGTTACGCAGCACTACAAGGAGAACCGATCTAAGAACCGTACAGTGCGCGAGGACATTCCGCTGGCAAAACAGCTGCAGGACTTGGAGAAGGAGAGAATTCAAGCGCAACGAAGTGCTGCAGCTCGCCCTAAGCCGGAACGAGTACTGAGCTTAGGACAGCAGCAGCAGCCACAGCAGCCGCAACAATCAGCAGAAAGGAATGATGAGGAGATTGCCAAACAAATTCAGCGACGTCTTTGGGTTGAGGAGGAGAGAGCCAGGCGGTTAGCTGAAGAAGCCGATGAAAGACTGGCGCAAAAGTTGGAGCAAAAGGAAAAGGCAAGACAATTGCGAAAAAGAGCTCAAAAGGAGAAGGAACAAGTGGAAAAGCTGACGCAGCAAATTGGCGCCGACTATGGTCTGGAGTCAGGGCAGCTGTCGAGCAGTCCATCGACGCCCCCTTCACTCAGCTCGCCCTCTTTTCAGCGCATTCTCACTGAAGACGAACAGGAGCTAGACTTGTCGGAGTTTTGCATGCCACCACCACCAGGCCTAACGCCTGAAGAGCTAAAATTCTTTCTTGAGGATCAAGATGCTGAAATTGCCCGACTTTTGCAGCATCAAGAGTTGAAGCGAAACAAAAACCCAGAGAAGGAAAAACTGGCTGTGATCGAGGCGCAGGATTTTGAGCTGGCTCGAATGCTGCAAAGAATGGAGAAAGACCGAGTGCGGAGAATTAGAGAGAAGATGCGCGCAAGGCAGCAGCGCACTCGCGAGGCAGAAGACGGTGCCGGTCCCAGTTTTGTCAGTATGGCCCACCTTGAGCCAGAAAACTACCAGCGCACATCAACTCCCATTTCGCCGCACAGCTCATTTGAGGCGGAGACGAGACCGGTAGAGAACGAGTACGACATTCCGGAGAACCACCTGCTGCAGGGTGACACTGAGAGCATCACCTACGAGGAGCCCTACCAGTTGCTCTCTCAGGCGAGTGAAGCCCGCCAGAAGCAGCAGCAGTCATTCCACAACATTGCAATGGACCTTGACCCCACCTACCAGCGGCGCTCTCAGGCGTACTCGAGCACCTCGCCGCTGATGATGCCTGGTCACTCTGCCTCAAACCTGCTCGAGTCCTGCGTTGATGACGGCGACGAGATGACGACGGCCGGTTCGCCGCAGTTTGGCGCTCTCATCCGGCCGAATGACTCACTGGAGAAGCTTCACCGAACGAGCAACAATCGAGCCGACTCTGCTGGCCCGGTCACCAGCTCAACCAGCTCATCGCGGTCGTCGCGGACCAGCGCCTCCAGTCGGCACTCGGGTGACAGTCGAGGGCAGAGGAGTGACCACAGTGCCAGTGCTCGTGGCCACCAGCAGCAGGTGACGATGAGTGATGACTACGCACCGCCACTGCCCCCACGAGACAACTCACTGCTGTCGAGACACAGGGCACAGCTTCACCAGCAGAGCCCATCACCGCCGGCAGCACGGTCTTCAGCGGTGGCAACAGCATCAGCAGTAGCACCATCAACACCCCCTCCACTATCCCCACCACTGCCATCTGCGGACAGTAAACCGTTTGCCTCTTCACCACCGACTGGCACCAATTACCAGCACCTGCCGCCTCACCACCCGCAACATCCGAACCGTCGCAGCCACGGTGCTGACACGGGCGTGCCGTCACCATCAAACCGCTCTTCCATTTACTCAGTCACATCAGCTAATATGCCAATCCAAGGACAGCGGAGAATCGCCTCTATGGAGAAACCGAAGAAGGAGAAGCATAAAGGCCAGGATGGCTGCAAGACGCAGTGACCCACCTCTGCCCTGTATTCTCTTGTTAACATTAATTTTTACGTTTCTTGTTTTTTAAAGTGTCAAAATGTGCGTTTTTTAAATAAAGCTATGTCTCTCCTGCAATATTTAGGTGTCTAGTTCATTCCCTCACACAAAGTGCAGAGCGCAATTTGAATTTGAATTTTCCGCTGGAAATCCCAAATGATTTTCTGAATACGCATACTGACATGTGCGGCGCCACTGCAAACGCGTACTAACACTGTTGTTGATGTTTGTTAACCAACTTGTAACCTGGTCGCGACTGTTTCTTTTCTGGCCAAATAGTTTTTGTTAGGTACCTAGAAAACCTAATCAACTTCCGGCTTCATGATGGGTGACGAGTCGAAGGTTGTGATGGGTACGAACATTGAAATCTGCTGGTCAAGCAACAAGACAGGACCGGACAGGTATTTTGATTGATGCCTCTAAACTTGCCACCTTTTTAACATTGTTTACATTGTACTTTGTAGATTCATTACCTTTGGGCACGATTTGAAGCTGCACAATGTTGAATACTACAAAGAGATGGGAAACATTTATGGTATCTACTTTTAATTAAACTGATTGATTCAACATTTACTAATAAGTGTTACTTACAAAGGCGGCGTACAGTTTGCTGATGTTCACATTTCTACCATACCTTACAAGGATGATGTTTATCAAGTTAAGGTTGGGAATTATAAAAGCAAATTAGAGGGCGTCTTGATTAACAATTGCTTATTTTTTCCGTCTCTAGTCAATGGCATGCAACAACACTTTATATTCGGACAAAAATGATGTCCTTTTTGCTCTCGGTTACAACAACGGACGAATTTTGCTAAACCACTTTGATGCTAGCGTAAAAGATCTGTACCCCGAGTTAACTGGCAAAGAATTTACGCCCACAGTTTCACGATCATGCAATACACTAGATTTTAATCCAGAAGACAATAATCTTGTAAGATTTACTATTACTGGTAGTTTAAGTTTACTGATTTTTTTATTGCTGCAGCTTGCTTCTGGTTTTGATAAAGCAAGAAACGAGCATTCTATTATGGTCTGGGATATTGCCCACACTGGAACAGTGCCACATAACAGCATGTATCACAGCCATTTCACAACGACCAATTTTTCGGGTTCAAATAAGCCCTTGTACGAGTTGGCTCAAAATGAAGTTGTTCATTCGCTAAAATGGTTCCAAAGCAAGCTCATCATTTGTGGCATGAATAATAAGCACATAAAGATCTTTGATCTACGTGACAATGACAGCAAGCCTAAAGGTACTATCACTAAAGGTGTCAATGGCATTACTGTTGATCCGCTTTTCATTAATCGATTTGCCTCTTTTTCTGATGTAAGTATAATCATTGGTCAAAAAGTATGTGTATTTTCTTACTTTTTCTTATTTTTACAGAATACGATTTTTGTTTGGGACTGGAGGTTTCTTGAAAATCCTACCACTGTTAATGTTACTGAAGCGTCAAGTATTGTAAAGTTAGAATGGTGCCCGACGCGATCAAACATTCTCGCTGTTTTGTTAAAGGATACAAACTACCTACGGCTCTATGATTACAAAGATTTTAAAAACGCAAAAAATGAACCAGAACCTGCAGTTGTGCAGCGGGACATCAGTCCGTTTTCATGTAAGGTTTTTTAAATTGTTTGTTTTTCAAATTCAACTTGTATTTACTTTATTCTTTTGAACAGTTGCCAATCCTCAAATAATTTCATCATTCTCATGGCATCCTTCCAACGAATCTCGAATGCTTGTTATTTCCACTAATAGTTCCATAAAAGACTTTAAAGTCATTGATCGAATTACCCTGGTATGTCGAGAATATCTTATTTTTGTCATTAATTACATGATTTTTTTCAGAATTGGTCGCCAGTCTCTGAAATCATTTGGACGCATGGAAAGAAAATACTTCAGTGTATTGATCCAGATGATAGCTACTACCAAAACATTGATGATATTGCTGTTATTATGCGAAAACGCGCAAGTGAGGGATACGGACTTGCGGTAAATCATTGCTGAAAAGTTCGGTTACTTTTTACAAAACTAACCTTATTTTAATAACTTTAAGACTGATAAAATGTGGCAGTTTTTTGTCCGTAACTCACCTTTATACAACCTTTGGAAGTGGATGTCGATGCGGATTAGATCACTTAAACAAGAGGAAAAACCAACTAAAGGGGTCAGCTCATACCGAGACGCAGTCATCACCGATCTTTTTAGCTTACAAAACCATGAACGACTGCATGGTCTCCTAAGTGTGCTGTTTAAGGAAAATCGCCTCGAATTGTTGCACCATTCTCAAAAGGCTTCGATTCCTGAAAACAATATCCTGAGGTGAGTTTTTTTAATTTTCTGTGTATACTATAATNTAAGTGTGCTGTTTAAGGAAAATCGCCTCGAATTGTTGCACCATTCTCAAGAGGCTTCGATTCCTGAAAACAATATCCTGAGGTGAGTTTTTTTAATTTTCTGTGTATACTATAATTACAAATTCTTTTTTTTGTCAGTAAACGTAAAGTGTACACCAGTTTGTCAAGAGCTAAAGCACTGCAGCACTGTGGCTGGAGCAGTAGATCGCGTTATCTGAATAACATCGATCTCGACATGAACGCCGTAGACTTGAACAGCTCCTCTCAATCCCCTTCCAGTCAAAGTTCTCTGTCTGCGCTGTTTGATGGAAACATGCCATGCGATACATTTGTGGAGTCGAATGAAGAGGAGGTTAACTATACAAGATCAGCTGCAGTAATGGTCTTTAATGGAAAGATTCAACAAGCCATTAAGTGTTTGCAAAAAGCTTCAAATTATCTTTTCGATAGGCCGAATGATTTAGAAGATGGCGAGAGTATAACTTTGAATGTAATTGCTCTGGCGCTGTCTTCGTATGAAGCTTCTGCCAATCCAAAAGAAGAAGATTCGATGTGGAAAAAGACATGCAAAAACTTGAAAAACAAACTTAGAGATCCATACATCAAAGCTATTTTCATTTTTCTTTCGATGAACGGCCAAGACGAAGTTGCTTACAACGAAATCATTGTAAGTCGATTTGCTTATTTTCGCCCTTCATTTGTCTACAACTTTCTATTTTTTTGCAGGATAATGTCAATCTCAATATGGACATTGCCGATAAAATTGCTTTTGCTTGTATGTTTCTTTCTGATGACAATGTAAGTTTAAGATGTTTTTAGCTTCAGAAACACATTCACACTTTATTTCTTTTAGCTGAAAAACTATTTACTCAAGTTGAAGACTACACTGTTTGAGCGAGCTGATTTGAGCGCAATTTTGCTCACTGGCGTCACTACTGAGGGATTAGATTTGTTTTCCAAGTACATTGAAAATACCTGTGACGTCCAGACAATCAGCTTGATTTTGCTGTGGTCTTTGCCCAGTAGTATCTGTAAAGAGGATGTTTCTAAAATTTGGATCGAAAATTACAAGCAGCTCCTTGACTGTTGGCGGTTGTGGAATGTCAGGTTTGTATTTTCATGCTTCATTGTCGATTGGCAATTATTCTATTGTCTTGCCTTTCAGAGCTCAATTCGATATAAAGTGGCATGCTGGTTTTAACCACATGGATGATCCAAAGCCGCGAATATACCTCTCTTGCAGCTACTGCCGAAATTCCATTTCAGTGAGCGTGACAAGTGATGCCGCCAAGCTGGGCAACGCCCAACACATGTCGCATCACCAGTACAACCGATCTTCATCTGCAAACACTGCAGGCAGCAAATACCGAACAGTCAGTTGCTCAAACTGTGCCAAATCACTACCTCGCTGCTCACTGTGTCTCACCCAGCTGGGCACTCCTGCCGGTATTTACTGGCGGCCAAAGCTGCTTTTCGGGAAGAACGATAAGAAGCTCTCTCCATTCGCCTCCTGGTTCACCTGGTGCCAGACCTGTCGTCACGGGGGCCATTCATCGCACATCATCGGGTGGTTCATGGACAACACTGTTTGTCCAGTGGCCGGCTGCAAGTGCAAGTGCATGTCAATGGACGCCAACGCACGACTCTCTGAAACTCTCTAAACACTTTTTTTGTACACTGACGACCCTATGATTAGGGGACAATTTATAGACACACTACGACGAACAAGTATGCACAATTCTTTGTGCAACCTGTGATATGACAGCTACATATTTGTGGATCAAGCACACACACACACACACCACACAAACTGCCTTCATCTGCCAAACATTGGCAATGAGTTTTAATTTTTGTTTTGCAATAAAGCAAAGTAAAGTGCCTCTCGCCAGCAGCTGCTACTACCTGGGAGAAATCCCAAGCGAAGTAGCGTGCGGGATTCTGGGGAAGTGTGCGGCATCCCAACCAGGAGAGTGATGCTACGGTTGAGAGGAGCAGCAGCAGTGGTGCTGCACTGCGGACGGGCACGGTGACCGCTGACCCCGTGAGCGGCAATATCCCGCCGCCGCTCTGTCCCGACGGAGAGAACCGCTGATCGGCGGCGGCGGTGAGGCTGCAGCTTCTGTTCCCACTTTGACGATGGCCTCTGCAGGCTGTAGTGCCCGCGAGTGCGCAGACCTGCCCGTACTACTCTGAACTGCTCGCTTTGTCTGCCTGAAGTGAGTCTCCTGCTTCAGAAATGTAAGTGAGAGAGAGAGAGAGAGAGAGAGAGCCAGTTTCTGCAACGGTTTATCTGATCACTGAGCACTGGGCGAACTCCACTCACCAGAGACCACTCGACTCTGACCGCCCTGCCGAGTGCCAGCTCCGTTGACCCGGGTCAGCCGAGCGAACTGCACCAGTGTGCCCACTGTGAACACCCTCTCAGCACTCCCCATTACCAGTGGACAATCACCTGTTGGCATCGCGCTCACCCTAAACACCATTTGTCCTTTGAGGCGAGCTGCTCATCTTGTCTGACTGTAATCAGAGTGTCATGTTTTGGCCACTGGACATCACCATTGCGAGCACCCCATGAGTCTGTGTTTATATCAGCGATTGCACTAGTGCCACTGTGC